GTCGTGAGCTTATTCGTGTGAGCGAGCAAGCTTTTACAAAGTTGTGTACTATCTTACAACGTGACGGTGGCCTGCGACCTACACAACGGATGTCTGTTGAAGAACATGTTGCAAGGTTTCTGCACATCATAGGTAACGAGATGAGAAACAACATGCTCTCTTTCATGTATGGACGCGCTAAATCTACAACAAGTAGGTGCTTCCATAGAGTTCTTCGCGCGGTTGTAGCATTAGAAAGTTACTACATTCAACAACCTAAAGGTAATGTTGTCCTGAAAGAAATTCAAGAGAAAAATAGATTTTATCCCTACTTCAAAAATTGTGTAGGGGCAATTGACGAGACACATGTTCGTGTAAAAGTACCCAATAAGGATGCCGCTAGATATCGTGGTCGCAAGGGTTACCCTACGATAAATGTCTTAGCCGCATGTTCATTTGATTTGAAGTTTACGTACATTTTAACCGGGTGGGAGGGTACTGCCTTGGACTCAAGGATAGTGAAAGATGCACTTAAAAGAGACGATAAGCTACTAATTCCTAGGGGTAATTTCTATTAAGTAGTTTAATTTTGTGTGCATTCATTTATTAGAAAATTAATTACATGTTATTTTATAGGACGATATTGTTTGGTAGACGCCGGTTTGCCTCATACCCTTGAACTAATGACACCATATAGAGGTGTTAGGTATCATTTGAAAGAGTATTCTACTCACCCCCCAGTGAACGCAAGAGAGTTGTTCAATCTTCGACATGCTTCTTTACGTAACGCTATAGAACGGACATTTGGTGTTCTAAAAAGAAGGTTCACACTCGTTAGAAGTACACAGGAACCTTTTTACTTTTGTGACACACAATCGGACATTTTTATGGCATGTTGCATCTTACACAATTTTTTACTCGACGAAGATCGTGAAAAAAAACTTGAATATGAAGGCTTACAAGAGATGTTGGATGAACAACCACAACAAGTGAGACATGATGTTAATAACGGACGTTTGCATAGTAACGAGGCTGAGGAATTGAGGAACGCTATTACAACTCAAATGTGGGATGATTACTTGTTGAAACCAAACAATGAAATAGATATGTCTAATTAGTTTTATAGTAGATCAATAATATGTCGACTTTAGTTCATTGTGTTATTTTAGTTTAATTTTGTAGTGACATTTGCAATTTATTTATTTGATGGTGTTATTTATATTATGATCCCACTTATTCTTATATATATTTGTCCAATTTTTTAACAATGTATGGCTCGTTATACTATCTTTGTATGTACAGAGCAACCATGACGAAAAGGGCAGCTGATGGAAGTGTAGTGAAAAAAGAAAATTTGACATGGACAGATCATATGGATAACGTTCTCGTTGAAGCTCTAATAAAGGAAGATCAAATAGGTAATCGGCTGAATGGTACAATCACTTCGCAAGCTTATGCGAACATGATTGCAGGGATGAGTAAAGAGTTTAACAGGTATATTACAAAAGATCAACTAAAAAATCGAATGAAAACTTTAAAAGACAATTTTAGTAAATGGTATGATATGTATCGGGGTACTTCGTTGAGTGGGTTCTCCTGGAATTCTCAAACAAGATACATTGAAGCAGAGGAGGAAGTATGGGAACAATTAATTAGTGTACGTGTTGGTTTTACATATAATTTATTGTTTTATATATTTTTTGTACCATTAACTTTACTAATTAATTTTTGGATTTGTTTATAAACAGGAAAACCCTGACGCAGCTGCATTTAGGACCAAGAAAATTTCAAACTATGATCAGTTGGTGATGTTATTTTCAGATGATAGAGCATCGGGATCAAAAGCGGAAACAGCCAAAGAAAAAACGCCCGGTTAAGCAAATCCACAGAAATTAAAATAGAAAAAGTTGTTGATGATGATGTGGATAAACTAATGGAAAATAATGATGTAATTCTAGATAATGAACACAAAGATGATGATGATGACATTCAAATAGTGTCAGCAACAGATGTTTCACCCGATGAGAGTTCAAAAGCCAAGAAATTAAAAAGTAAAAAAAGAAAACTAGAAAGAAAACTTCAAGATAAAGAGGAAGTAGTAGCTGAATCTGAACCTCAACCATAATCTTTTGAACACAATATTGTGCAAACATTTAAAGAAATAGTTGATGTTATGAGGGAAGGGAACAAATCTCGTGACTATACAGGTGAGGAAATTGAGAAAATATTAGAGTTGATGGGGTTGGATGTCGATGAATTTGCAGATGCTTTCATATATTTGTCGCGTAATCAAGTCGATGCTAGGACCATTTTTAGTTCTTCAATGAAGATGCGGAAGATCTTTCTAAGAAAGATGATGGATGGAGCTAAAAAGTGAGTCATATCTTGAAGTTTTATGATTTCTTTTTCATGGTAGTTTGCATTGGACTTTATTTGTAAGAGTTGGAATTTTGATTTTCTAGTTTTTCTTTGTTGACTTGAGTTTATTACATTAGTTGATTGTTTGATTAAAAGTTTTTGATTGATTTTGATTCCTACTGTAGTTGATTCATATTGTTTAATATGTTCTAAACATTATGTGTAAATAGGGGTATAATTGTAATCTTTTAATTTTCTCTTCTTTTCCCTCCTAACTCAGGAACACATAAACTTAAAAATTTTCATTTCATTTCCTTCGAACTCGGGAACACGGAATACATAAATTTTCCTTCCCCTCCCTTTCCTTCTGTCAATATTTTCATTTCCTTTCGTTTAATTAATTTACAAAAAAAAACTCGAGAACAAGGCGTAAGAGTATAAATAGATTCCACAAACTCCCAATAATCAGCATCACTGTCGATTCTTATAATACCCTCAACCAAACTTTCCTTTATAATACAATAGTAAACATTATCACAACCTCCTTTGGTTAATTTCATAAGCCACAAAAGAAATTCTCTATACGTAAATTCACTAAAATCCACATCACGAACAATTATTTTTACAGGGTCTAAGTATACCTACGACTTTGGCGTAAATATTCCCTTGTAATGAAAATCTACAACTACATACATATCTGTAGATGATGGGGATGCCATGTTACAGTCGACTTTAACTCGTACCTTCAATTCCAAACCCTATTCTTCGATTTGTTGTATCGATTTCTCACAAAGTGGTAATCGGGATGTGTTTTTAGAGCAAAGCAACCTGACGAACCCTAATTAAATGAGAAACGGGTGTAATGGCTACGTAAGAATCCACGTAATACTTTTTTAAGTGAGCTAAATCGATGTAAGCGGCTAAAACAAGTGATAGCCGGTAATAATGGTTATTTGTGAACAGACGAAACAAGTTAGTTAGGTAAATAAGTACAAAAAATGTTAGCTAAATGTAAACATACCAAAAAGATGGTTACCTTAATAAGTCAATTTCTCATAAAAAAAATTATAATCTATTCTAAGCCCCCCCCCCCCCCCCCCCTTTTTTTTTTGAGACACTTTTGGGACTAGGGACGACCCAAGGTGGTGCGACATGCGCCCAAAAGTGGTGTGATATGGGCGTCCACCTAGAGCACAAAATTTTAAAGACATCAGTTTAATTTGTGGGTTTAATGAACTAGAAAGGTAACGAACTTTGGTTTTTGTTTACATTAAGATAACCATGTTTTTTTCGTACACATTTGACCATTGAACTTGTTTGACCTGTTCAAAATAAGGTAATATGACTGGTAATTAACGGTAACATTACCCTATTATGAACAGGTTAAACAAGTTTAATGGTCAAATGTGTACGAAAAAAACATGGTTACCTAAATATGGACAAAACCCAAAGTTGATTACCCATTTTGGTAATATTAAGTTATTTATGTTAAGTGCACGTAGTCATAAGATCCATTGATGTGACATGAAATTAGGTTGTCCGGTCTTTATGTATGAGGAAACGGTCAAGTCTTGGGCTAACTAGTTTAGGCCCAACTAGTTAGGTGTTAGGTTGTATATGCTTAAGGGGCTAGGTTGTATGTGCTTTAAAGACCTAGCAACACAGTCTAACCCATGACTAGTCGGGACTGAACTAGGTTAAACCAAGCCTAACCTAATTTTTTATTGACTGTCGGAGCCTGATCCCAGGACATAGCCTCTGAGACGGTTCTTGTCCAATATTACAAAAGCGGGTAAGAAACTTTGGTTTTTGTCCGTATTTTTTTCGTACACATTTGACCAATAAACTTGTTTGACATGTTCATAATAGGGTAATATTACCGTAATTAGCAGTCATATTATCCTATTTTGAACATGTCAAACAAGTTCAATGGTCAAATGTGAACAAAAAAAACATAATTATCTAAATGTGGACAAAGACCAAAGTTCGTTACCTTTCTAAGTCATTAACCCTAATTTGTGAGGTGACTGAATAAAAACAAAAAATAAATCATCATTTATTATTTATAATTTTTTTCAATCATGTCATATTTTAGAAGAAACATTACCTGACATCAAAATATAACTAAATAAAAATAACTATTTGCTTATTTTAGAAAATATAGAAAATGATAAAAATTTGAGAAGTTATAATATTATGTGACGGTTAAACTTATTTTAGAAAATTGTACTTGCTATTTGTTTTATTTTAAAGTTTTGACAGTTAAACTTACATTATATATTCTTTGTAAATACATTTGTTTTATTTTATATATTAAATTAAATAAGTTAACTAATAAAAAAACCTTAATATATGAATAAAACTAGGTTATAAAATGAAGTTTTAAAGTAAAAAATATCCTTAATGGTTTGAAACCCATTGATAATGCTTTTATCAATTTCAAATAGAAAAAGTTACTATGGCAGATGCTTATAACTTGCAAAATAAATCTAAACTTTTCACACGTATATTTTAGCAAGTCTACATAGCCTAAATTTTTTAGAATCCTAAGATAGCTGACTATATATTTTGTAGCTATTATGTTAAAAAAAACTAGAAGCACATTCAATAACAAACATTTACTTTTTAAAGATGGATAAAAGATTGTTTACAAGTCAACTCAACCTGTCTCAAAACACAAAATATAAATATATTAAGTGACTAAATATATTTAAATCCAAACAAATGTTTCATGCATATGCTACAAGCAACATTCAACCAACAAATTACACTTTCTTGCCTTTATTCTGAATTTTGACTATGAAAGCTCAACGATCTTTGGTCGTTTACTTTTTTTGTCATTTTCAGATGTTGTGTTTTTTGGTTTTTTATCATTAAGAATTTTGGATTTTGACTTTTTAGTTTCATGATTGTCATCATTCTCAGAATCACTACAACTGTCGTCGTCATCATCACTGGTATCTTCCGATTCCGATTCCGATTCAGATTCCGATTCCGATTCTGATTCCGATTCGGTACTACTAGCATCAAGGGAGATGACTGGTTGATTACCAAGAATAGCAGATTCAGCTGCAGCAACAGCTTCTGGAGTGTGAAGATCCGCAACACCAAGCATTAGATCCTGTGAGATTAAAGGAATGGAATCTGTCAAAGGAATGGAATGTGAAGAGTAAAGGATGGTTTTTAGTTTTTACTTTTTACATACCATTTCAATGTATTCTGATTCATCCCCTGTGAGTGCCTCAATATCATAGTTTTTGGAGCTCTGTATACAAAAAGTAGACATTTAGTAAGATGTCTATACTCTATACACATGTGTTGAATGATGAACAAAAGAAAAGTTTCATAATTCATACCATTGCATCTATCTGCAACTTCTTGTTTGACTCTGCCATGACTCCTAAAAAGTCCTTCAATTTTCCCATAACTGAAACAAAAGATATAACCATGAGCAAGGGATAAATATAATGTACTGTTTATTTGATCTCATTAGTTCATATGCTACTTCATCTACTTTTAAGATTTGGAATAGATGCGCAATTGAAACAAAATCATTGTTGTCGAACATATACATACGGATGAAGAGTAACCTTGGCTAGGAGGAGGAGCAGCAATGAGGGGTTTGGTATCAGGAGGTGCATTAGCTTTAGTTTTTGCAGCTTCTATCTTCTTCAACAAATCATCGTCGCCACTTTTGCAAACAAGAAGCGCTGATTCTGCACACAAATTAGCAGAATGTTGGTTGATAATAAGAAAATAAGTTGATACCATGGAAACATACCTTTAGAAGAGGAATTTTTAGTGTTGTTTTCCAAGTCGAGAAGAGCTTGACTGCTGCTACGCCCCATGCTCTTTCCCCAAAACCACTACAAGAAGCAGTGTGCGTGTGTTAGAGCTAATTTGACCTAACATATATAAAAACAATAGGGTCGGATGAAAGCGAGAGATGTTGAATGGTGAAAGTGGCGATAACAGGGTTTAAGGGTTTTTGCGTTGGATGATGAAAGAGACGATAATAGGGTAAAGCAACGTTTCAAAACCCGGTTTTTAGTTGATTCGGTGTAGCTCCGGTCCCGGGTCAACCGGTTCATCTTGCACAAACACAGCCTGAGCTCTAGTCTTATTTCAGCAAGAAAAAATAAAAACATCGTGAGAGTCTGAGAGATTGATTACCTTTGAGAAATCGAAATCTGAATTCTTGCAATAACCTGAACTTGAAATCAGCAAGAACAACCGGTGTGGGAGAAATGAAGATTAGTGGTTGAGTTTCTGAACTCTGAAATCGGTGTGGGAAAAATCGAAATCAGCAAGAAATCGGCGATGAAGACTGTGATTTTTGTTTCAAATCGGGTATTGTAAGCCTAAGTACAGAGTCCAGTTTTCAAGCCCAATGATCAAAGCCCAAAGCCGTTAACGTCGCTTTTTCTATTAAAAAATTAAAATAACTTTCGCATGTGGTCAATGAGCGAAGCCTTTGTTCGAGAATCGAGAATATGAATTTGAAGTTTTCACTCAAAAATATATATAGAGCGGCAAAATTAGCTAGTAGCAGATAGTTTGTAGTGGGTAACGGATAGCTTGTAGCGTATTGTTAAACAGTACATGAAGTAGCATTTGAATTTGGAGTGTTTTGTTTAAACTAATCGCTAGAAGCTTATATTGTCAAACGAGATTTTCTGTTTAAACGGAGCTAAAAGCTCTCAAACGCTCCATGTCGAACACACCTATATTCTAAAAACTATTTCAACCAAACAAAAAGCTCTCTACTTTCATAATTTGTCACAAATTTAATTTTAATTCGTTTTTTTTTCATTGATAATAAAGTCCACTCGATTTTGACCCGTTTGTTTGGTTTACTTTGAAGGCTTACCTAACGGGATACTATTCATGAGATACAATAGCTCCAGTGACTTGTATCATGTCTTGCCTTCCAAGACCAAACAACTTCGGAATCCTCAAGCTTTAGTTATTTTTTCAAAGACATTTAGACCCTACGGTGCACCAAGTACCGCACACCGCGGTGTGCGGGAAACAACCTACCCCCCCCCAAGAAAACCACGAGATGCTTTTACTGAGTTTCTCTTTTTTGACTGTTGGAATTGATCCGTTGGGTTTTTTTAATTTCTTTTTCAATTTTCTTATAAATTAACTCTCATTTCTCATTTTAAAATCATACGACAAACACAAAACTCTCGCTATACTTTACAAAAAATTTATTTCAAAATGTCTTCATCTTCGTCCACTTCTTCTGATACGTTGGCGTTGTAGGAAGCAAGGCTTATCGCGGACGTCATGCGCACAACACTTGCTTATTTGCAAGAAAATGAAGGCGAAAGTTTGCGCCCAAAAACAAGAAATCCTCCTTTACGAAGAAATCGTGAAGTCGGGCACAACCATCTTGTGAATGACTAAATTGTTGATGATGCAGTGTACGCGGAAAAATTCAGGTGTCGGTTCCGAATGAATAAGGTATTATTTTTACGCATTGTTGATGATATACAAAATCGATTTCCATGATTTCAGCAACAGGTTGATGGAAGAGGTAAGCAAGGTTTCTCCACATTTCAAAAATGTACAACTACAATTCGTCAACTAGCATGCAACATGAGACCGGACTCATGATATGAGTATTTGAGGATGTTAGAGTGAACGACGTGGAATTATGTATATAAGTTCGCTAACATTGTGATTATCCTCTATCGTGGTCGCTATTTACGAAAGCCTACAAGTAGCGACATCCAACTATATACAACACATGAAAACAAGCATGAGCTCCCTAAAATGTTTGGTAGTCTTGATTGTATGCATTGAGATTGGTCAATGTGCACTAATGTGTGGCGCGGTCAGTTTAGTGCGAGGTGATCAAAAGCAGCTGACAATAGTTTTAGAGGCAGTGACGTCGTATGACATTTGGATATGACATGCATTTTTTGGTCCATCAGATGCCAACAACGACATCAATGTTCTATACAAATCACCGATATTCCACGACATCTACCTTGAGAAATCGTATGATGTGTTGTTTCAAGTAAATGGGACATCATACAAGCATGGGTATTACCTTACTGATGGAATATATCCCTAGTTAGTAGGATTTGTGAAATCATTCTCATGTCCAAATGATAACAAACGATTAAAGTTTAAGGCGTCACAAGAATCTGCTAGGAAGGATATTTAACGAGCATTTGGTGTCCTAAAGAGACATTGGTAGATACTCACAGTTTTGTTCGATTAAAAAAAATGACGATTACGTGACAATGCAAAAGTGTGGTATGACATGTACCGGCCTTAGCATCATCGTCCCGAGCACCTCGGGCCTTCTATTTCATATAGTCTTAAAAGCACTAATCTTATTAAACTCGGGCCTTCTATTTCATATAGTCTTAAAAGCACTAATCTTATTAAACGTAATCAAACCAAACTTTCTTCTTCTTCCGACTCTTGTATTTTTGGAAAACATATTAAATTGTAGTTTTATAATAATTTCTCATTTTGAAATTACTTATAGCGATTTCTCGGTTTATGATTCCAGCTTTCCACGAGAAGGTATATAGTTGTTTCCTTTTTAATTTGATGAAAGTAGATTTTTCCATTTAGCCTCTAACTTTCTACAAATTTGACACATGTATATCTCTATTGTCTATGGTGGAGGTTTAACACTAGTGAATAATGAAACTGAATCAAATCAGAATGTTAATAGGTTAAAGAATCACAATTAGTTGTTCCATACCCAAAGTTATGAACACCCTAACCCATGCTACAACTAAATCACCACGCATCTAAAACTGTAAAACAAAAAAAATTGTTAAAAGACTTGCAAAACGTTGAATACAATACCCAAAATGTAATATCTAATTCGATTGTACTTGATAAGAAATAGCACAACACCCTACCTCATATATACACAAGTCACCTACTACTTTTCAGACATGGTTTACACTTTACAGTTTACACCAACACCAAAGTCCCAACACTTTTTTATATTCCAAGCGACACATATCACAAGTATGTTGGTGATGTGAGTATAGCCGAGTGAAATTACATATTTACCCCTCCTCTGAAACAAGACTATTTCCACGCTGTATGATCAACCCCAAGTCATAGGACAGTAGGTTCCATGGTGGTATTAGTGTGTGGATTGGGCTCCTTGTGGGCACTGGGCCTTTCAGCCAACCACCTAGTGGGCCACTGTATATCTGATTTACATCTGACAATATGGTTTTGGGACACATGGCAGTTGTAGGCCAATTCATGAATTGCTTGCTAACCCTACTTCTCTTGATTTTTGTTGTTGTAAGGAAGCCACTGAATATCCTGTTCACATACGATAACTTTCACTTAAAAAAAAAAAAAAAAAAAAAGGAAAAGTAAACTACGTATACATGTGAAGCCAATTTACGTGCAACAAATATTTCATACAATGTAATTTGTATTTTAACGTTTAGACATGTCATAACACACAAACATCACGTGTTACATAACAAATATTTCAAATCAAAATGTTGCAACTTTCATAGGATGATAGGACAAAGAATACTTTTGATGAAAGCCAACAAATTTTTGTAAATTCGTGATACACCTTATATTAGTCAATTGTCTAAAATACCCCAAAACAAGTTAATTGTTTGATGCACCCATAAACAAGTCTTGATGCCCCTAATATTAGTCAACTGGATAAAAGCTCAAAATTTTGTAGTTCCTTTACATGTAGCTTTTAAGTTTTAAAACTCTCCAACTATTAGTGAATTGACTAAAATACCCCAAACATGTAAAACCAAAACAAATCTTGCAAACCAGAACCCAAGATTTGTAATGATGACGATGGGTAAACACGTAATATGTCTTCAAAATACGTCTTAAAACAAAAAGTTAAGTTATCTTGAAAAAAAACAAGGGTTAGAACTTAGAAACCACATACCATGTAACATAGGCTCCAAGAAAGTTGAATTGCCTCTTGCCACCTGTTAGCTTTAACAAGACCTTTAACAAGGTTAACAAAAACACTCAATTCGGGAACACCACCTTTACTAATCATATCTCCATATAACTCAAAAGCTTTCTCAACCCCATTTGAAACCGAAAGACTCTCAATCAAAGAAAAATACAAATCTTTATCCATAAAGGAAGATAACTCACTCATCTCTTTAACCAATTCCAAAGCCATTTCCATCTTTCCAGCCTTTCTATACCCATCAACCAAAAGTTTATAAACCGGAATAACCGGAATGGAATCATACTCACTTACACCCTCCAAAACCCCAAGATTCATCAAAAACTCCCGATTAAACCCTTCAATAACCTTACAATAACTCTCCATATGCATGGGCCAATACGTCATTTTCATCTCCTCCAAGAGCGCTAAAGCTTCATCCAACAACCCAAAAGCACAACAATGGTGGATTAAAACACTATATGTGACATAATTAGGCGCACAACTTTTCATCCCCATTTCTTTAAAAATTTCAAGACTTTTTTCCACTTTCCCAATTTTTCCAAATCCATCTATCATTGAGGTGTAAGTTACAACATTTGGTTTACACCCTTTTGTCTCCATCATCTCCATGAGTTTATAAGCTTCGTCTGTCTTTCCAACTTTACATAGCCCATCTACCATTGTTGTGTAGATTATAACATTAGGAGGACATGAATTTTCAAGCATTTTGGATAAAACCTGTGTAGCAAGATCCAACCTTTTGTCTTTAAACATCTTGTCAATCATTGATCCATAAGTAAAGACATTCGGATTGTACCCTTGTTCACACATTCTTGAATAAACTTCTTCTGCTTCTTCTAACTTCCCATTTTTTAGTAACCCATCAATAAGTGCATCATACACGATATTATTAGGCTCACAACCTTCAAAAGTCATCACATTTATAAGTTCACGTGCTTCTTTGACTTTATTTGCTTTACACAACCCATCCACCAAAGCTCCATATGTCACAACATTTGGCTCCAAAGTTTCGATCTTTTCACCTCTAAAGTGAAAATCCACATCAGAATTTTCTTTTTCTTTAACATTTGGCTCCAAAGTTTCGATCTTTTCAACTTTAAAGTGAAAACCCACATCAGAATTTTCTTTTTCTTTAATTCCCTTCATTATTGAGTAAATTTGCAACGCCTTTTCGACTTCACCAGCTTTACAATGACCATCTATTAGAGCTGTGATTGTGACAATGTTTGGAGAACAATCACATGACACCATCATTTCAAATAACTCATTGGCATCTGATATCTTTTTAGCTTTAAGATACGCGTGTATAAGAACTGTATATGTTACCACATTTGGAGAACAACCATTTGTAATCATTTCATCGAACCATTTTCGACCCTGAGGAATTAACCCCGCTTTACAAAAACTATCAATCAAAATCGTGTAAGTATGAACATTTGGAACAACCCCATTCTTTTTCATTTCTTTAAACAACCAAAACGCCTTCTCTAATTTGGAAGCATCACATAAAAAACTAATTACATTTGAATACGTACTTTCATCAGGTACAAAACCTTTGGTCATCATTTCATGAATCACATTAAAAGCTTTCTCAAATTTCCCAACCTCACAAAGGCATCGAGCATAATTGCTAACATTGACTTTATTCAACACAAAACCACCTTCAAGCATTTGACCATAAGCCATTTCAGCTAATTCTAACCTATCTACACTTGGGATCTCACTTGTTCCACAGATTGAACCGATAAATATGTTAAAGATTACAGAATTAGGTCGAACACCGTATTTTCCCGTTTCTTTAAGCAACTTATGTGCATAAGTAAAGTCTCCTGATTTACAATAAGCATGAACAAGAGAATTATATATTTTAGGACTCGGGTAACACCCTTCAGCAATCATCATGCTAAGAACTCGCTTACATCTCCCCAATTTTCCTTTATTCAAACACCCACAAAGCAAAGTCCTATATGTTAACACATTAGGGATGCAAGAGTCACATCTCATTCGGTTTAGAAACTCCATAGCCTCTTCGAATAAAGAACCTTCACATAACCCACCTATCATTCTAGTGTATAGTGTAGTATCAGGAGCAAACTTTTCCTTATCTATCATATCAAGAGCCTCCCTCCATTTTCCGAATTTACATAAAGAATATGCAAAAGAACCTAATGTATGTGGATCCATTTTATAACCAGCATCAGCCATTTCACTGTAAACAAGATTAGCAGAATCCAGTTTGTTTGCCTCAAGAAATACTTGAATTAAAGCACTGTAGGTCACTCTAGAAGGTTTGTGACCAAAATCTTTAAGCCTGGCTAGCTCTTCAAGTGCTGAATTCCATGAACCGTTTTGACAGTACTTACGAATCAATACATTAAGGAGTTTTCCAAGCACTTCGTTATCGTCATCATCTCTAATTTCCCTAAGAAAATGATCGGGGATTCTATCAGCATTGTTACATCCTATTATGTCTAATAAAGCTTCGTAAACAGGTAATGTGTGATTATACCCAATTTGTCTACCTACCCATATGAAAAACTTCACAGCTAATTCAGCATTTTGAAGTAATTTTAGCACATCAATCACAAGCGATTCACTCAGTTTCTCTCTGAACTTACTAAGAAATTTATGGCTTTTATCACCGAAATCCCTGTTATTATCTCTAATTGCTTTACAAATAATATGCGCGTCTGAATACTTACGGGATTCGAACTTTTCCACAGACAACGAACGCTGCAAAATTGCAACTTCTTCTTCCAAATTGACCGAGACTCCAGAATCCCTATGAGGAGGCGAACTGATTTCTGGGGGATTGAAATTTGAATCGATCAATCCCTCCAATTGATCAGGAGAGGAAGTGCTGATGGATTTGTTGAAGGTGTTATAAACTGAACTTTGGCGGGAAACTTTCGATGAAGTGGGGTTTGCTATTAGAGAAATTAAACGAGCAAATGAGGAAAACCGTTGCTTTGATTGATGGAGGTTAATCTTTACCCAGTTTCTGCTCATTCTAAGCATTTGAAATTTTGAACTCTAGGAATTTAGGGTTTATAACGATGCCTTGTCATTTACACCGGAAGTTTTCCCTATTTTAGTCCTAAAAATATTCCTGTTAAACGTATGAAATAATTTCAAAGACAAAGTTACATAAACGGTCCCTATGGTTTGATAAAATAGATATATAGTGCTATTTCAAGAAAATAGACAAACTCGGTCCTTATGATTTGTTGATATTACATAAATGGCCCTTCCAATACACGGCATCAAAAAAATATTTTTATGTTTTTGTAAAATGACATTTTACCATTTTTCTTCTTTTTCATATTTTATTATTAATTTCCTCCTAAACTATAGGACCATCTATGTAACTTATATTTCATTTACTAATTTTGTGATATATTTATTTCCCTCAAATCCGCCAGCAAAGAAATCTAGGGTTTTCTTCCTCCGTGTGTTCTCTTCTTCGAATATCACAGATTGTTTTTCTATTGCAGATAAATGTTGTCGTTATGCTAGAGACATCGTACGTTGATTCAAGCTATGATATCCTAATGTCCACTCGAGGAAAAGGAATTTCGGTCCATAATTTCTGATGTCACCACAAAAACTTAGGTTCTTTCATTGTTTTCCTTATATGTGATCCTTTTTTCTCCTTGTTTTTAGAAGGATTTTAATCTTATGTTTACAAGTATGTTTTCTTGTGTGTAGGAGGTTATTTTTCTAGTTTGAATCACCAGTCACCATATTTCCACTATCCATTGTAATTGAATCTTTTTCTTTGTCTATCCCAACTTCCCCCCCCCCCACCCCACCCTCACCCCCTGCCTACACACACACATATACCAATCAACGTCAGTTGAACTCGTAATGATATCAAAACCGATTTTAGGTCCTTCAAATTAAGTAGGAGTGTCAATGATGATTCAAGAACATCTCATGGTTATGGAAATTTCGGAGGTTCGGGTAGCGGCTTTTCTGGTGGCGACACCGGTTCAGGTGATGGATGAAATGGATTTGGCGTTGGTCCTTATAAAACTCCAAACAAGAACTAAAGATGAAAGTGTAACTTAGAATAAAGATGGTTTCTCACCATTAATGCTCAAAGGGATTGATTTTTATTTTCCCAACTTCGACAAAAAATCTTCAAACATGGTTGATTTTTTTTTCAAGTTCTTATGATAAATTACATAAATGGTCATGCAGTTTAGGAAGTAATAATAAAACTGTAACAGCCCAAAAACCACGATAAAGTTTTCATTTAAAACAAGACTTGCAATAATCACATTGTTCCAAAACCATCACATAAGAACAATGTCAAATCATCATAGTACAATATCAAAAAGTGCAGAAAATAGTGAGGAGAGAATGTTGTGCCATCACGCCGGACCCTTCCCCTTAATACCGAAAGTACCTGAAACCACAAATATAAATTATAAGTAAAAGCTTAGTGAGTTTCCACAAGTACCACAAACCAAACATAAATAAGTTAGTGTTATGGGCCAAACCATATTCTTACAAGTAATTTCCTGCCGAGGGCCAAATCCTGGTCTTCCATACAGTTGTCATGGGTCAGATCCTGGTCTTTCATACAGTTGTCAGGGGCCATATCCTGGTCTTTCATACAGTTTCCAGGGGCCAAATCCTGGTCTTTCATACACATATCACAAATATAGCTAACATCCTATATATCACAGATAATGGACCGACATTGGTGCCTTCGACCCATTGATACAGTGAGAAAACACACCTTAGTCCTGTAACAACCATAAAATTCAAGCCAATTTTAAACTTTTTCAAAACACTTGAAACCATTTTACATTACATAGTTTGTTTTGAAAATACTAATTATCAGAGTATCCCAGTATCAAATCATAAAAATCATAACAGCAGGAGGAGTGGTACGATCATGCCTTCGCCTTCCCGCGATCACCAGAGGTACCTGAAACAACAACTGAAACTGTAAGCCCGAAAGCTTAGTGAGCTATCCCCCAAAATACCAATCTCATAACCGTATCATACAATCATATAGGCAAACAACATGCATAATGAGCCATTAGTCTGACTGGATCGACTCCCGGTCCTCAGTCTGTCTGGACCGCTCTCCGAGCCCTCGGCATGTCTGGACCGCCCTCCTCGGGGCCTTCAGCCTATCCGGACCGCTCGCTGGGCCTTCGGCCTGACTAGATTTTCCCAGGGTGTCTTGGCCTACTGCACACAGCAGGACCTGCCTCAACCATTTCCCCCAAATCAACAAACATGTGCACATACAAATAGACAAGTAAACATGCAAATCTAACAAATCACTAATCATGGCAACCATCCTAACCCAGGATGAAATCTAACATAGCAACCATCCTAACCACGATATAATCTAACATATCAATAGTAACCATCCTAAACCAGGATGTAAATCATAAAGGGTCGGCCTTGGTGCCTTAGACCCTGTTGATATAGTGAGGATAACTCACCTCCCAAGTGTCGCACCGAAGTGATAGGCTCAACTCTCGAATCGTCAACACGAACTCCACCACCTATAGTTAACATAAAACCCTTTTCCATAAATCTACAATTTACCAAAATGCCCCCAGAGGTCAACTGGTCGACCCTTTGTCAAAGTCAAAGTCCACAATCGAAGTCAACAGTCCATGTTGACCCGACTCGTCGAGTTCTTCCTGGACTCGTCGAGTTCACCAAAGGTATCTCCTTGTTCCGCAGAACTTTCATCTTCCTCTCCAGAATGGCCACAGGCCTCACCACATAATTCAGGCGCTCATCGACCTGAATATCACCCAACGACACTACCGCCTCCTGATCCAAATCACACTTTTGCAACTGCGAAATGTGGAAAGTTCTATGAATTCAGCTAAGCTCCTCCGGTAGCTCTAGCCTGCAAGCCACCTTGCCAACCCTGGAAATGATCCTGAACGGCCCACTGTAACGGGGACCCAATTTCCCCCTCTTCCTGAAGCAGATCACACCCTTCCAGGGTGAGACCTTCAGGAGTACCATGTCACCCACCTGGAACTCTAACTCAGACCGACGCCTGTCGGCGTAACTCTTCTGCCGACTCTGAGCGGTCTGCAATCGCTGCCTAATCTGTTGAATCTTCTCAGTAGTCTGCAAGACTACTTCCGTCCGCCCCATCACCCTGTGTCCCACTTCACCCCAACAAATCGGGGTGCGACATCTCTGTCCATACAACAGCTCGAAAGGCGGGGCGCCAATGCTGGAATGATAGCTGTTGTTGTAGGCGAACTCTGCAAGCGGTAGGTGGGAATCCCAGCTCCCACCGAAATCAATGACACACGCCCTCAACATATCCTCGAGGGTCTGAATGGTCCGCTCGCTCTGACCATCAGTCTGCGGATGGAATGTTGTGCTAAAGTGCAACCGCGTGCCCAGTTCCTCGTGGAACTTCTGCCAGAAACGGGAGGTAAACCTAACATCTCGATCGGAGACAATAGAGACGGGATGTAACATCCGGATTTCCAGGCATGACGATTTGAGTATTTCTTTTTGAGTTTTGAGGAGGGACTCGACGAGTTGACGCCTGAACTCGTCGAGTAGGATCGCGTTTTTGCTGACTGGATTAATGAAGGGACTCGACGAGTCGATGGGTGGACTCGACGAGTCCGCGCTGTGGACGGAAACCCTAAATCTCGGGGTTTGTGCCCTATTTAAAGGCCTTTATGGCCTTCATTTGCGGCCATTACACCCCTGAGAAACCCTAGAAAGCAGAGAGAACGTTTATAGTGCAAGAGGAGGGCTAATTCATCATTATTTGGTGTGTTTTAGCAAAGGGAAGGGAGGATTTCGAGCTAGGCAGTCTTGTGGTACTCAAATCTTCCATCATTTGGTGCAGAGCTGCTGTGGGAGGTAAGGATTCATGTCCATTTTCATTGAGTAATAGATTTCATGAATCTAGGGCTTTTTCTCTTCTTTTTGGTAAGAGATCTAGTGTATGTGATGTCCCCTTGTGCCAATATCATCATATCTGGACCTTGAGAGGTCCAGAGAGTCCCTATTATCCAGCTTTATGCAGTCCTTTATGAGTTTGGGGCTTAGGTTATCATATTAAGGGTCATTTTGGCATATAGAGGTGATAGTGTGAGGCATGGGCCTAAAGTTCGAACCTTTACATGATTATCATGCTTGGGAAGGTCAGATCTATAGATTAGAGAAGCAGATCTGACCTCAGAAGGTCATTTGAGTGTTTCCATGGAAGGAACTCGCCGAGTCCATTAGTGTACTCGACGAGTCGAGTCGGGGTTGCCCCGCGATTCGTGACAGGTGTAACCCGTCGAGTGGAGGGATGAATCGACGTGCCAAGTGAGGCTAGAAGGATTCAGAGGACCCGCATGGACTCGCCGAGTCGCCCATGTGCACTCGACGAGTCGGGTCAAATTTTGATCGTTGACTTCAGTTGACCTTAAGGTTTTGGTCAAGCTGATTCAGGAGAGTTCAGGGAGGGGTAGAATGACCTTCTACCCAATCTTTAGAGACGAGGCTATGAGAGGGTATTGATCAGGAATGTTATTCAGATGATAGGAGGAGGCTAGGTCGGGACGTCAAGCACGAGAGTTTATCCGACTTCGTACGAGGCGAGTCTTCTCACTATACATTACCTAGAGTGGTATCTATGTGTAGACCGGAGGGTCTTGTGTGCTATGTGTATGTATGAGATTATGTGCATTGTGATATATGTATGATATGTGTTGTATAGACCGGACCGGAGGGTCCAACGATATAGATCGAACCGAAGGGTCCAACGATATAGACCGGACCAAAGGGTCCAACGATACAGACCGGACCGAAGGGTCCAACGAGCTATGACCGGACCAGAGGGTCCAACGAGCTACGGGACTGGAGGGTTCCGCTGAGACACATCGACCGGAGGGTCGCACTGTAGCCTCGAGTGGCGTATGTGTTGTATGTGGTATTTTGGGGAACTCACTAAGCATTTATGCTTACAATTGTTGTGTTATGTGTTTCAGGTACTAGCGAGGATCGCGGGAAGGCGCCGGCATGATACGTACACACTCATGGAGTTTATGTCTTGAGATTCTGGGATATGTTTTGTTATGATA